TATACTCCCCCGGACTATTTACCGCTGGGTATAGCAGCTGACCCTGCGAGGAGTGGTCAGCCGAACGGTCCGCGCCGCCTGGTGTGGGTGTAAAACCCGCGGACGCCGCCTCTTGTGGGGGATCCGCCCCGTCGGCCGATCTTTGCCTCGGCGACGGCTGGAGGGATGCGCTAATACGGAATTTCCGGAGACGGCCCAGACTAGACCACCCACGGATGGGGGCAGGCGGTGCGCAGACCTCATGACAGAGTAAGAGCATGTCATGGTTTCTAATGGGCGCATGTGTGTCACATTAACCTAACGAAATATGCTTGTTTGATATCAATAGAGCTTCAAAGCTGGTGCCGGTTGCCGGAAATTGGCTGATGAGTATTGAGCGTAATGCAGGAATATGTGCCTGTGCTGTGGGGGCGGCGCACTGCAGGCACCGAGGCTCCGGTATTGATCGGCCTCGTGAAGCGCATCCTTTAGCGGTAGCCAATCATTAGTTTGACGTCACGGCTCTTCCTGAAATGGTGCTCGTCTGGCGGCTGGTGTGTCTGCGCTGTGCCATGGGACCGGCGAGCCGCGCCGCTCAGAAACCCCCGCCGGCCCTCTGCCCTGTGCTCACACCGCCATAGATAACAAAGCCCCAAACTGAGCGGCCGTTACTGGAGATCGTAAACACCGTGATGCCGTCGTTCAGTTTGAAGCATCGCCCCGTTATTGACCAGGCGAATGACAGGATACGACAACCAAACATAAATTGGGACGCCACTGTTGGCACCGTATTGCGGTACACAATTGGTTCATGGTGGATTTTACGCCTTATTTTGACAGTTGACGAGGGAAGGTGTTTGGCAAGTTTGTGTGGCCTACGGCTTGGTTATTCATGCATCAGCAGTTTAGGCAGCCCCACATTTAGGCGCCCTAACCTGGAGGGTCAAGGCGCCTAAACCTGACCTGGGGGGTCACGGTTAAAAAGGTCAACTGTAGGTATACCATGTACTTACGAATATATAACAATTTTACCCTAACAAGCTGTTTTAAAAGGACCTATCCCTTCTCTTTACGGTTGTCTGTGTGGTTGTATTGACTTTGTGAGTAGGTAATGGCTGCATCCCTCCCCAGAGTTGTCGATGTCAGCCAGGGTCACGCCAGGAGTCTGCCGTTACCATGGCAACGGCTTAGGAGCCGCCGCGAGACAGGCGGCCTCGGGGCTTCCGGCCGACGGCACGTCACCGAGCAGCCACCGTCTTATGACGTCATTGGGAATATAAAAAAACAGCAAACGCGTGACAAATCCTGTGCTGAGAACAAAATGGCGAATGCATATTATGTTTTACATAAAAAGGAGCGTCAGATTATAATCGCATGAAAAACAGAATTACTAATCATTCTGGCTAAAGGTCCTACTCTGACAGCATCGCACCCAAAACGCTACTGTAACTGCAGTTGCATCCCAAAAACGAACATATATTACGCCGAAAAATCTATCTGAGGATCACAGCCACAAGCGTAGTAACTACTCGTAATACTCGACGTTCTTGCTGTGCATGCTCACCTAGCCCCACCTGTCAGCCAGGAGAGGGCTATCACCAGTGGCATGTTAGTGGGAGCGCGGTGACGCCGACCACTTGTGCCGAACAAAGGGGGTACGTCGAGTGGCGACAACCGACGGCTAGGGCTTTACACAACACCTGTGCTGCTCTGCAGGTGCAGCGTCTGTATTCAACAGACTGGTTACGGAGCGAACCGGGCCATATATGTCGAGAAATGGGACGCAGCTGACGTTAATGCTGCCGATTGTTTGGGTGGAGCGACAAAATCGGGAAAAGTGGGACGGTTAGTTGTACGAATGTATGTACAAGTGTTACATGAAAAGTGCCTGGCAAGGTGCATTACGTATCTACGTATCTTACGTATCTCACGTAAGATAGAATTCCCTTCATTGGATTACATTAATATTCTTGAAAAAAAACCCAAGTTCACATAGCTTATACGAGTTATCAGCGCTGTGCTACGAGAGATCTACCTTTCGACGACAACCGCCCATTATTTCCAGTAAAGAACATTTAGGGCAGTTTTGAAGCGTAGCTTTTCTGCTCCACGTGTGTCAAAAACAATATTTATCCCGATCTTGTAACATCGCTCGCTCAGGATGCATTACGGACAGGTTACAAGACACCTCTGTGGTGACTGAATAACAAACAATGGGCAGCCGGTGTGTGGGTCACCAAAATAACATCCATGCAATGAGCAGGGTCATGTTCTACATAAAGTTAGTGTATATTTCCGGTCAAGAGAAGCCATAAATAAGTCCACATTGTCCTTCGCATTAACTTGTGCAATGTCGTGTTAGAGCCAGTCCACAAGTTACCTACCATAGCAGTCGGTTGGTCTGCCGGATTTACGAGCATGTCTGCCTTAGCCATCCCATGTTCACCCGGCTTTGACATAACTGGCCCTGTTTGAATGTGACTGAGGGCTGGCATGGCCTCAGACGGTTCTATGCTAGATGCTGTCTGTCATGAATTCATCAGCCCTGTCAGACACGAGACATCTCAGCAGTTGGGATAGGACAAATGGCTCCTGCTTATAGGATAGGCCCATCCGTAGCTCTTTCCACCTCTTTTCGCCCCCTGTACTATTGTTCTAGTCATAAATCATTATACAGCTCGCAATACACCAGAGGGTATCTAATGCACCTATGAATCAGGACAAGTGTTTCATGGTAGAGATTATTAGGGTGAGACATTTATTTATCTGTGTTTTGAAGGGTGAGTGGATAATCGCCTTATTTTTGTTCGCATCTCACCGGTTGTGTTCTATATTTGAACATATACTTATAAGTTACCAGGCATCCATGAGTCAGCTGTGATGTAGCCGGCTCTATTATTTCCTCGCCATGATTTCTCCCGGCGCGGCGGTATAGCGCCACTGAGGACCGGCGCCGGGCTCTAACCGCAGCTGCGACACTCGGCCGCCTCCCAGTGTTTTGGTTCGTCGAGAGGCGACACCCAACACAAATACACAGACGCCGCGCGGTGTCACGGCGCCTGTGGCGCACAGACGGCGAGCGTGGCGCTCTGCTGTCGAACCCCGAGCGCCGAACAGAATATCCGAGCTCGGCACCCCTGGCAGCCCTGCCTGCAGGCGATCGATCCGCCTCCAGGTCGACGACAAATCCCGGAGCAGCGGCGGCAATGTGTGGCGCGGTTGAGGCGATATGCGGCGCGCCAGACGTCATCTGTGCGTCGGTGCGCCGTTAATTCGCCGCGTGCGCCACGGTTGTCGCAGGTCGCTGGCCAGCTTCATTAGTCGGCGTCTCGTGCCGTCAGAAGAGACGGGAGGGAGGGGACAAATGCCCCCGGGTTTCCGGCGGGGAGGGGAGGGTGGGGGAGGGTCTGGTGCGTGGAGGGGAGGGTGGGGGAGGGGCCTAGTGCGTTGAGGAGGAAGCGGAGGCACTGACCAGTGGTCTGCCGTTGGCCAACCTGCACCGTCTGTCCGAGGCGCTGCTCTTTTTGCTCGTTATCTGCGCCCGCCCGAGGCCGAAATGGATCTGTTGTGACTGGACCAGACAAAGTGTTGTCGGCCAGCAAAGAAATAACTGCGATGCTGAACGAGCAGTTTCAAAAATCTGTAACTTAATAGGAAATCTTCATAAGAAACAAATACACTGATAAAATGGTAGGTATTATGTCAATACCAATGCTGAAGCGGTTGTGTTCGCAATATTGGTGTTGCAATGCTAGCTTACATATTAGAAATAACTCTTTAAAAATACTCGCGATTTAAACTGTTAGCTGTTAACTGTTAGCTATTAGGCATGACATATAGACATATTTTATAGGTACCTAAGTTGACCCAAACGGACACTGAAGGTTTGCATAACTTTTGCAAATTGCAATGTTTATGAGGCACCATAAATACACTGTAGCTACAGCATCTATGCTTTATTTTTTCCAGACCTAAGTGTTACTGAGTTAAACCTCTCACTAAAGCACATGTCCTGTGAAAACACGCAAAGATGCTTAGGCGATCGCTTTACGCATATATCCCATCACATAAGCCCAGCCCATAGTCATGAGTGCTCATGAGTGTCAAAGCTCGAGAGTCCGGTACACACAGCTGTATGTGAGTACAAGGTCACACTATAATAGGCATCCTTTGTACAACGCCTTGACACCCATTGTTGGATATTCATAGAACCAACTGCGCAGCGATGCAGCAGGAACCAACTAAAAAAAGAACAGCATAAGCGCGGACTTTGCTGTTTTGTTTGCCCTGGAATGCAATCGTGCGAGGACAAGGAGAGGCGGCATTGATCATATACGTCTATTGTTCAATAGGTAAGTATGTCGACAGTTGGATAAGAGAGATGGCAATAATTATAATAGTCAATAAACAGCGTCTTCTTGAGTAGTGTTACTGCACTCGGTGGAGCGAGACTGCCCATCGGTATGCGCGCTCAATCAAAATCAACTGCCAATGGATCGCCTTCATGCATCCAAGTGTTTCAGTTGAGCATGAGCAGTTTAGCAGTCTAGAGCACAACATGCCTTTTGTGCTCGAGTCGTCCAGTACGGAGTCGAAATCTTTACAAAGTGTGGGGCTGAGACAAGCCTAAGATCTCAGCAACGGCACGCACAGCAAACTTGGGAAAAGCTGTCAAATATGTGTTTGGACAGCTCTGGTTATTCCACGTCAGTAAAAACGACGCCACCTAGGGCAACTGCCATTGAACTGCAACTGTAATGAACTGCTGATTTTTCTTGACAGTCTTTGTGAGAAAAAATATTGAACAGGAAAAACCGAGGAGTGAAAAAAGAAAACCAATCGCACTTTCAATCGAAACGCCGGTAATGATGCATCGTGATGAGGTGAGTTCAAGGTAAAAGTTATTTTGATATTTGTTGGACATTTATGCCTAGAGATATTTCTTTTTTAAGAAAAAGTTGGGCTATGACCTGTTAAAAAGGCATATAAAACTATTATACGTGTTGACTGCCACAACTCACCTGGTCACAGTGTTTATCCATCATCTGACAACAAACCGCGCTTCTTCTTTCAAACGCAAACTGTCACTCTGCCCCCTCAGTCACCGGCGGGGTCACGGATGGGTTCCTTTACCAACGCACTGACGGCGGTGTCTTCCACACCTCACCTTGGTCACTTGTCACTTTTCAGACCTCAACTCTCTCCTCACTTCACATCGCCGATCTCTCTCCTTACGCGTCACCTGCTGCTCTCTCACTCTTTCTCACTTGCTCTGTCTCCTTCCCTTCCCAACCTCACGCCTCTCTCCACCGCACCGTCCTGCCGTCGTCGCCGGCGCGGACCGACGTTTTCGACGCACCCTCCGCGCCGACGGCCGCAGCTCGACTCAGAACGTCGGGAGCGTCGGCCGTCGACGCCACTCAACAGGTCGCGCCGTCGCCGCTGCCGTCGCGCGCGTCGATTACTTTATCGCAGCCGACGAAACCGACGGGGCTCGGTGGAGCGCGCTGCGTGAAGGTACGGCGGCACATGACAGAGCGAGAGAGAGAGAGAGAGAGAGAGAGAGAGAGAGAGAGAGAGAGAGAGAGAGAGAGAGAGAGAGAGAGAGAGGGAGAGAGGGGGAGAGGGAGGGAGGGAGAGACACGGATATGTTTGCAAACTTGCTTATGAGAAAGGAAAAATATCCATTCGTCAAAACCCTTTCTTCTTTATAACATGACATCGTTATAGAATAATCAGGTTAAATCTGCAATGGCCGTTAACCTGTTGCCGTGCTGTACGCAATTTGACGGCCGCTGGATGCTCTCAGCTGGACTCTTCACATGGCGAAAGGGTCGAGCGCATAGTTCGGTTTGCGTGTAGAGTGCAAGGCTCGCGTGCGCCGCGCAGTGAGGGCGCCATGCCGGCTGCGACTCGCCTTCCGCCCGGCACGGTATACATAAGCACTGTCATCGCATGCGTTTCTGCAGCGTTTCTGGCATGCGCTTATGGTCAGTGTTGATAAAAGAAGCTATCAACTCGAACAGTTGCTCTCATACCAAGGTATGTACAATATATTTGGCTTCGTTGTATAAATATATCAGACGCACTGGATGGGCTTCCATTTTTTTTTCCAAATGCAAGGCAGTGCAAGTCTCTGTTGCATCCTGCAGAACTGGATAATCACACGTGTTAACATGTTATAACAATTTTACTACATCTTTATGTTATAACATGTAGACACGCGTGACCATCCGAGTAGGTATAGCATAAAATGCTGGGCACAAGTGTCTTACAAAAAAAATGTGTATACTTACTTGGCCGGCCGCAGGCTGTCCAGTGTCCACTACCCGACAATCAAAACACCTCTCGTTATTTATTCTAATTTCGAATAGTTTTTATGATTAATCGCAAGCTGTATTTCATGAGGAATGATTACTTCAAAGCAGAAGAAGATAGCTGTAGTATATAGTTAGAAGTGCTGATATCAAATGCGTCCGCATTCGCAATACCACGAGCCCACGAGCAACTGCACATCTCCTCCATCTCGAGCGCATTTAACGTGTTCGTCGAAATAGTCAGGGCTTCACCGATTCTAACGCTAAGTTTCCCAGAACCACTACAGTCTGCGATATTTCTCCGTCTCATCAATATATTGCGGGCCATCTTTTACAGTGATTTTATTGTGCAATGTTGTCAAGACGAACGGGAGATATCCGATGCATTTGCTTATAATGAACATGTTAAAATATGTATGTACATACTCTCACCTTGGATGTTTCACCTACTTAATAAGCAAGCTTACGCTCTCGTCTCGAGAGGGCCTGCCATCTCAGCCCCACAGCAAGCTGACTCGAGGAGGCTGTCTGGGTGTGCCGCACTACATGGGTGCTCTGCGGCACAGCATCCCTACGAGCCGCAGGCGGCTGCTGAGGCTGCGCGCTGCTCAGCCAGCCATGGGTGCTCCTGCCGTCTCTGGCCAGACTTCTTCAAAAGCTTGCAATAGATGCTGGCGTATTCGATTTCATTTTCCACCGTTCTGGTAATCACAATTAGCTGCTGGACTGCAGGGATGCACTCCCCGAGATCCCAGCGAGAAGCGAGGGAAAGAGAGAGAAACAAGGGGAAACGAGCACTGGGGGACGCGGCACCACGGACTCAAACTCCTAGAAAACAACAGCGCCGCCGCAATAACAGCGCATCGGCCCACATCCGACAGAAGCTTATTTAGTGTTGAAGGCATTTGTTTTGGTTAGGAAGGGAACTACGAGTCGTCTGACAGACGATGTATGTGGTATTAAATGCATATCAGTGTTAATTGCCCTCGTTAACATTTCGCCGAGAATGGGTCCGTCGCCTGCATACAAATGGTGGTCCTGACGGACCTAGAAGGGTGGTGTCGTTGCTGGACACATTGTAAGACAGGCTCTAGGATATTATGCAAAAAAAAAAAAAAATCAAAGCGTGGAATAATACTAATTTAGTTGCTATGCAATTCCTTTTATTGGAAAAAAACACAGAACTGGCTGAAATCCAAGACATCCAACAAAACATTCACACCATTGGTTTGAGACTTAGTTAGTCCCTAAACAACGAATATCTCCCAACGGCCAACCATACCATGGTCCAAAATGATACGGCGCTGACATTTCTGCGACCGCAGGGCTGTCTCTGCCCTGGCGGCCCGGCAGACTGACCGTAATTACTACCGCCGACGTCACCACTTGCGCCTCAAAACGGGGTCTGTCAATGTCAGTGTCTCTAACTGCGTCTGGCAGTGGTGACGTCAGCGCAGTCGGTCCCCCGTCGACTTCAACTCAGGCGTGACACGGTCTCTGCTCGCTCTCCACTGACGCGAGCGAGGCGGCACGAGCAGCAGGTCCGCCGTCTGTCGGGTACACCCCAGTATCGACCGGTGGACGACCCTTCCGTTACTGGTTCCCTCGCTACTCCTACCTTTGACGTCCCCTAGTCGGGCGTCGCCACCAGCCCCCCTGCCCCTCCCCCGGAGGGGAGGGCGCTCCAATCTCGCTCGTCGGCCAACACCCATCAATAGCGTCCGCCGCGCCGGCCACCTCAATCGGCAGGGACTCCCGGCACACTCGGCCGATAGGGGAACTCCCGTGATAGAGGAAAGTGAGATACGAATGGGTTGGTGTAGGTATTGAGCGTCAACAAAGTTTTGAATGTAGAGCGATAAATTTATCTATTTGTTTACGGTTCATTATTTCTCTGCAGTCAATCCAACGAATTTGGTAGGCTTTCATTTCAGTTATTGCTCTCGCTCCTATGTATATGATAGCAGTAAGGTGCTTTTAGGCTGCTAAACATTTTACCTTTTCGTTGGCATCATTGTATCACATTATGGTATCATATCCAGTATAAAGGCTTTCATCTGTCATGTAGCTAAAGCTTACCATATCTAATGTGTGAAATTTTATGGTCGTTTTTTTTTCTCTCTACTGCATTCCCCAAATGTCAGACAACAACGGCAGTACAGAAGTCGCATTCATTCCGCCATTCCTCTTCTCCACAATCGCTGCTCAGTCTCTCGCCACGGGATCTAGCATATGCCAGATGAGAGCCACTGTCACAGTCCGTCATGACCATCATGCCAGCGATAACGACTCTCTGTGTCCGGTCATATTCGCCGTGCTGTCGCAAACGACGCGTCGCTAACGAGCCAGGCCGGCTGTGTAAGCGACACACCCGACACAGCCCGCGGCGATGGCCGGGTGGACGGCAGAGCGACGGATAACGGGAGATGGAGGACCCCTGCGCCGACGCTGGGCCTCTCAGAGGAGAGCAGGAGGCAGGGGTCAGCTATCAGCGAGCTGCATATCGAATTAGCATCTTAACTGAATGCGCTGATGCCGTAAAATAATTACATGGTGTATTGAGGATCGTTTGTCATATTGCCTGACTATAAACGGCATACATTGACTTAGTAAGTGATTTTATTTTAGTGAGCTAAACGCATTCACTGTCAGTGATGCATCACATCTGGTTTGCCACATTCTGCCCCATGAGTGATTTCTTATCAACTGCTTTGATTAGCTATATGCAAATTATGCACGTCATGCACATGAACACTGCACAGTGAAAAAAGCGTATCTCTAGTGCATATATCACAGTGCGCGTCCTCCGACCGTATTGTTAGCACCCATCCAATCAATTTACAGCATCATTGAGCTCATTGTGCGAAATGGTTGACATTTCACAGAACATTTCCTGGTCATTCATCATCCATTTATTGTTGGCAATGTGCCGTCAAAGTGAGCTCTCTGTCGCCAACGTATCACAAAATCTAGCTTGAAATGCACACATTCTAATAAATATAGCAGACTTTCACATAGATGTGAGCAAAGTTGATAGTGGAAATTTTTTTTTTAAAGAAAAGTTGCCATAAAAAATGCGGGAAATGACAAAACGTAGCTATTGTTCAAATCAAATGCAAGCAAAATGCACTTATATCGTTCAACATCCTCATTGTTCAGTGCCCATAGGGAATGTGTACAGATAGGAATGACATCCAAATGCGCGTGCCTTAGGTGTATCTCGTCCATACAGGACAAGTCATGTAGAAATTATTTCCCTGGTCTGAGCACACCATGCTATGACCCATCCAACTAATATAACCGTCTTTCCCCGTGAATAAAATGCAAACCATATGACTTCATGCCTCTACGGAATACCAGGAATTACCTATACACGTGGTCTTGCCCCTGCCAGCATGATTGAAGCTTCCAAGCTTTCGGTGTTCAAGTGAGCTTGCTTGAAACGCAAAGCATATGTCGTTATCTCAAGGGTCGACTCAGCCCCACCATCATATTGAGAAGTCGGCGACCGCCGCAATAAGCTCCAGCAGGTGGCTGACTCGGGCCAGAGTCGCAAGAAGGTCCGCGCAGGCCACAAGTCGGCTTATCGGCGACACACACACAGCACACAAACACATCACAAACGGTAGCGAGCCGGTTTATTAACGGCAGGATTCAGCGTCGGAGGGCTGAACCGTATACACAATTAGACTGCATGCATTCAGTTGCGGCTGCACGGCGATGAGAGAGTTCAGTCTCTGCCCGGGATAATGGTTTGCGGCTGGGCACCGGTCCCTGGTGGCTCAAGCTCCGATCAATGGTAGTACTTACCTAACCGAGATGGTAACAGGCTCCGGTAAATGAATAAACTTTCCTGAGTGATAGTTCTTGAGTGGAAATGGAATCTATAGCCCTTTGAATAGGTTGATAGCACTTCGACATTATTTTACATAGGTTGAGTAGCCGGTGTCCTAACCATTCCTCGGTGACTTATGCTGAACTTGTTTGTGTCGTAGATCTCACTCATGCTTCACCTTTATCATTGATATAAATAGCTGAATAAAAAATTCATAGAATATGTGGCGTGAGGTATCAACAGACATATCAACGTATCGACAGCCTAATCAACTTCCTGTTTCCTTTTCAGCACATAAAACTACGAGTGCTAAGAGGTTGTTTTCTTCCAGCTATCGCTTCTGAATGATGTCGAACTTGGAATGGAAGTCCAATAAGTGAATTCAACTCGCTGTCAGGGTACATTGGAATTGGACTTCGTTTCCACAGTGAAGCTGCTGTCGAAAAAACACAGACTAGTGGGGAGAAAGAAGACCAAACAGTGTCGGCGGGATAACAGAGCGGAGCGCCGGCCGTCGGCCACACACAAGTTACACATCTCGGCTGGGTCGAGGTCCGAGCTGCGGCCTCCTGTCAGCCGGCCGGACGTTTTTCTCCGGCGGGTTTTTGTTTTGTCTCCGTTGTCTCCGTTTGTGATATTGGGATCCCGATGTTCTGTCTGTCGTGTTTGTTCCTGTGTGAGCGTGAGCGATCGTCGGACAAGAGGCCTTGGAGCTGCTCTGTTGGGAAAGAGCGAGAGGCCTTGGGAAAAGTGGGAGGCAGTCCTGCTGTGCCAATGGCTTTGTTCGCGATGCAAGCGGTCGGCGTTCTTGCTCGCAGTCGATTCTTCAGTGTCCACTGAGCTGAGATGGTGAGTAACCGCTGACCTTCAGCATGGCCCACATACTAAAATATGGCTCAGCTTTGTCACGATGATAAGAGCTTCAACATGCCAGGGTGTCCAGACTGATCTATATTTTCCAAAGCTTATAGTTTTTGGTCAGCTTCATGTCTTGTTTTTTTTTTTCTCAACAATTAAGTTGTTGTGCTCGACTGCAGTTTTAAGTCAAATATTGAACACTGGTTCGGATTTTTGCATTAGTTGTTTTGGTCAACGTCACACTGCAGAGCAGAAGCATATATCCCAAAATATCCATGTCTTTAACCACTTTTTCCCTTAGGATAAATGGAGCACATATGACGCACGCAGCGTTGACGTCATTCCTCATGGCCCCAAGTCTAGGTACATGCCTGAAAGAGTCCATGCAGATACCAATTAAGCCTAAATGGCTGCTCTACCACCCACAAACTGAGCAGGAAAGACCATGCCGATACGTCTACGTGCGAAGCCCGGGGCTAGTACTAACAAGACCCGTAACATAACCCTCGCCGGTCGCTCGAGGGAATCCGTCGTCTCTCCCTGTCTCGTCTCCTTTTTGTTGCAGTGGTTGTGGATCATATGATCCGCGCGGGCGGCTCAAAATACGGCCCAGCCGTCGCCACCCTCGGCGCGGCGGTGTCAGCTGTTCTCCTCCTCCCCCCTCCCCTCCCCGCCCCCACCTGTAACGGACAGGCTGCCGGCCGGGTACACGCGTTGCATGGCAGATGGGTCTCCAAAGGTCAGGTCAGGTCGGCGCCCGCTGCCGCCCCCGGACTGGCAGTAATGGATGAGCTGTAAATCTCGCTAACGTGAGGGATGGCGGGGCGTGTGCTGGCGATTCGGGTCAGAGTCGGGGATAATTTGAGCCCGATGATAGACACCGTATGACTGGAGGTGTTCACAAGGTTTACCGATATGGTGTCAACTGTCATCGAAAAAAGGCGAATGAATCAACACGCTTCTGGTCCTAAGATTATAGGGTGACATATCTGATTCTACGATATCAGGCTAAAGCTCAACATTCAAAAGTATTTGGTCATGCAGTGCCCGACTCCACAATCACAGGTGCTATACTATAAATGCCTAAATAAAAGCCAATTACCAGCGGGTACCGCCGCAAAGCACTACAGCTAGTCGACACTGATGACAGAATATCAAGCATCGTGGTGCATTACATCGACAGGCATACATGTTCCATGCATGTTTGGCTGACTTGCGGTAGACTGCGCTGGCAGAAATGAGTCGCATTATTGTCTGATCACGTCACCGTACTCCAACACGATAGGTATAAGGTATTTGTCGAGAGACGCTACGAAGAGATGAGAAGCTAATTCAAAAATGTCACCTATCTATTACGAATACCTACAGTTTGCATGCTAAAAACAATGTGGTCGAAACTATAGTTCGTTTTTTTTTTCAAAAGGACGCTGGCTCAAAGTGCATTATCGAAGCTCTCACGTGAGTTTTGGCAACTTCAGCGTCTGGCTAAGAATTTCTTGCCGAAAAAATGATCGATTTCAAATTGTGCTCGGTAAATACATGGAAATTGTGACTTCAAAAATTAGCATACTACAATGACGTCACTGGTGGCAGCTGGCACCCAATGTCCGTACGAAAGCATTCATTGCCAACGAATTTTGGGAAAACTTCGTTTTTTGCTCTTACCGAGGCCCGAATCGAGTACCTAATCGATTCTTTCCATGATAGTTATGCGTTGCATTGCAATGCAAGTTCCACAGCATGACGTCACCACTGTTCTCATGTCTAGTTCCAAAACGCAGGCATGGAATTTATCGGGAATAATTCACATGTTAAAATAAGGCGACGTTCGAGTTTCTCAGGTTCAGTTTTTGCCCGTTTTGCTAGCTTGTTCGAAAAACATACTTGGAGCCAGCGTCCTTTTGAAATAAAACGAACTATAATAGAGTTATCCCCACCATTGCGCCAAAAATGGCGATCGGGATAATTCTTATTTTGATGATCTTTGGTTGTCTTCCTTTTGACCTCATTTTTACCTGATACTTTGTACCTAAATCAGACCGTGCCATTTTTTTTTTGTATCTGAAAGCGAATAGTTACCATTTTCCCTTTCCCAGACATAATGGCTTGGTTTTGAGCAGAGCGCTCAACACCAAGCCATTACCCCTGCCAGTCGTAAGTTGAAACAGTAGCAGACCTTACTGACCTCTTACTGACCCTCGCCGGACCTATTGGTTTTCTACATACGCGCCGGCCGAGGGGGGGGGGGCGGGTACGACCCCCCTCGCCATTTCGCCCCTGGTAGAGCTAGCGCGTCGCGAAAAAAAAACGAGCGTGTGCACCGTTACGAGACGCAGAGATTGGTACCCGATTTTAAGGTCCTAGGTGAACCGATGACCTCTGAGGTCAGGTCAAGTACCCAAAGGTACGGTTCAGTTTTTGGTGAATAACTTCGCCAACAATGGCTGCAGAGACGCGATGTTGGTAGCATCGTGTTCGCCTTGCTCAGGCGCGTCGAATGATATACTTTTTGTTCGGGTCAGGTCAACTTAGGGTGTTGACCTCAGGTCAAGGTCAGGTCAGCACCCCCAGGTCACGAGGTTCGTCGAAAGAGGTCATGTCGCATACCATTCGATTCGGCAGGTCTTCCTGAGTCCATTGGTGGCTTTCCCGACTCGCTAGCTCAATTTGATCAAGAGGTATTGACGAAAAACGAATGTGAGCTTGATGACGTCATAAATGACGTCACGAAAGGTCAACTTTGCAAAAGTGGCGCATCCAACCTTGCAAGGAGTGCATCAAATCACGATTCTGTGTGCTTCAGATAGTTGGAGATCGTTCCCGGCGCCAGAATAGCAGTTTTCATTTTTCCCCATTGACTTATAATGGTGAGGTCACGAAAATGACCTGACCTCATATGACCTTTACGTAAAATCCGAGATATACAAGTTGTGAGACTAATAATGGATACTAGATCCTGCAAGTTTCATTTCCCTGTGACATCTCCTCTGGCAGTGAGGGCGTTGCGAAGCTGCGACATCTGGAGACCGTGCAGAGGTTCACTTATGACGTCATAGGTCAGTGACCTGACCTGACCCAAAAATGCGGTTGGCGTCAAAAGATCCGGCTTGAATTAAAGGTCAGGTATGCCAAGTTTTAGCTCTCTATCTCCAGCGTGTTCGGAGCTATCGCGAAAAAACCCTATGGGGGCGGCACCCCCCTCGGCAGGCGAGGGTGAATCGTTATTTGATAGCATGCTGAGAAAACAAAATAAGGGTTTCTTGCGGTGTGATAAGAAGAAATGGTAGAAAGTATGTTCGCCCAACTTCTTCACAATATATGTAGGTATTTATTACAAAACAAAACACACATGACATAATGGCAACAATATCAAGCTCGAAGTTTTGATCGAACGCTCGTAGAGGGTTGATCAGTGCAAATGTCTGTCGTAGATATTACAGAGGTCATTGGTGTCAGACGGTGCTGTCATGGATTCAGTCAGTGTCAGCTGAGATCTGCCGGATCCAGTCGGTGTCGGACGTCAGTTGAGGTTCCATCGGATCCAGTCGGTTCAGTTGAGGTTCTGCCGGATCCAGTCTGTGTACTGGGCGACGCGCGTGTACACGCCCGGCTTGTTGGGGCCGGCGCACGAGTCGCCCCATGACACGAGGCCCACCAGCTGGAAGGTGCCGCCCAGGCGACACGCCAGCGGACCGCCGCTGTCGCCGCCGCACGAGTCGACGCCGCCCTCCAGGTAGCCGGCACACAGGGTGCCCTCGGGGAAAAAGTGCCGCTTGGCGCCGTACACCTTGGCCGAGGCGCACACCTTCTCGGGGATGACGGCCACGCGCGCGGCCAGCAGCGAGGAGGCCAGGCTGGCGTCGTCGGCCGGGTCGGTCAGGCCCCAGCCGGAGACGACGCACTCGGTGCCGTCGGCGGGCCGCTCGAACGGCGCCGGCAGACACACGGGTGACACGCGCGCGCTGTACACGGACTTCTTGTTGGAGCCGGCGCGCAGCCGCAGCACGGCCAGGTCGTGCCGCTTGCCCGGCTTGTCGTATGCCGGATGGATGACCAGCTTGTCGATGGCATACGCCGCCTCGTGCTCCTCGACGGCGTCGTTGGTGTGGTCGCCCAGCACGACCAGGTACTGGTCGCGGTCGTGTGTGACCATGCAGTGGGCGGCGGTGAGCACGTGCTGCGGAGAGACCACGGCGCCGCCGCAGTGGTGCACCCAGTAGCCGGCGCGGCGCACCTTGATGTGCGCCTGCCACGGGAACGCGCCGTACGGGGCGCCGCTGCCGCCCACGATCCGTGTCGTGGCCTGCCGCTTGCGGGGAGGCATGTAGAACACCGGCTGACTGCCACACTGCGCCGCGCGGGCCACCCGGGCAGAGCGACGACGGCGCACTGGCGGGCTGCTTCGGAGAGACAGATTCACCTCGTCGGCTGCAGATGACGCGGCAGTCGGCTCGGGCAGGTCAAACAGGTAGCGGGCTCCTCGGGTGCCGTTGGTTTTGGCCGCCGTGCGCTGGTAGGAGGTCCACTGTGCGCCGAGCGTCTGTTCGGTGCCCTGGTCTGTGTGCAGCTGACAGCGCCGGTACTGGCCGTGCCAGCTGAAGCCCTGGCAGCGAGGCGTGTTGTCGCAGAGCTTGGCGCAGGCGGGCACAGTCAGCGAGCTCCAGTAGACGCGGCTGCCGCTGCGGAGCGGCGCCTCGGCCGGCCGGTAGCCGGGCAGCGAGGGCTCGCAGCCGAGCTCGTCCCAGCCGGCGGCGCAGTCGGCGCGGCCGTCACAGAAGCGGCGCGGCGACACGCACCCGTCGCCGGTCGAGTTGCCGCACAAGTAGGAGAGCGTGTCCTGACACCGTGTCACCGCCGGCGTGTCAGTCGGTGTCACGAACACGGCCAGCTCGGTCTCCTGGCCGCCGACACAGCCGGCCGCCAGCAGCCACACGGCCCACACCGCGCTGGGACTCAGCATCGTGCTCATAGTCGGCTGACAGGGGATGTTCCAGCACCACGTCCGTTCCCGGCTGTACTAGTCTAACTATTTAGTTGTCCGACTCCCGGCGCCGCTGCACCGTTTCCACAGCAGCAGCGGGCGCGGCTGTGAGTTCCCTGTGAGCCAGAGTCCCACTGCGCTGTGTTCATGGTCACGGTCGGCGTTATATACCGTCCGTCGGCTGCAGGGGCTCAACCCATCATCATGGTCAGTCAGGCGCCGCCGGTAGTGACCTTGTGCCCCGGCGCTACCCATTGCCACCCCGTCCCTCCCCGGCGGCAGGATGAGCAAGGCTGAAACGAACGCAGGAAGTCCGCGTTGGCTGGACGTTTTGCGGTTGGCTGGGTAAGCACAAGTGGTGTTAGCTTTGAGATTCCCGAGATAAAGCTCGGCAAATATGCCGTGTCTGCTTTGTTGTCAACCAGTTGTGGTCTGGGAGAAAAGAAAAGCCGATATATTTTTGAAGTGCGCATCGCTGGACGCCGGCAGAGGAGGAAGTCACATCAATTTGGGTCAAGGTGAAGTTTTCTGAAGCTCAAGGAATCGTTTCTTTACCGAAGAGTCTCAGCTCTCCACCCGGCAGCGGTTTAAATAGCGTCGGATAATAGTCGCTCGACGTCCTGTGAAGCACGTGGTGGTTGTGATGATTCCTCAGAACCGGTTTGGACGATTTTGTTTTTCCGTATTCAGCTACACGCCGTCTGCTCTGACGGTAGTTTAAAGTCGGTGCTTCCAGACGGCTTGGTCTCTGGTCATAATGTAAGAGGAAACCCGACTGGGAGTGGTACCGATCCCAAGGAGAATTAAACCGATTTACGCAGTACGCTGACGATGACTTTAATTGAAGCCATTGCATGGAATGGCAGGCTTATATATAGACAACATGTGTTGGAGCAGCATTGCCAAAAGTCCGTCTTGTGATCATATCTTCATGGAATTTTTCGCACCGATTCAGCTTGAACAATTTTGTTATCCATTCGCATAACGATATGGAGAAAATATGGATACCGATACCTACATATGGATCACTTTTCCTCCATTACCAGGCTCTGGAACACCGGCGAATTCAACGGATCACTGTCGATAAACCCAAATCCCCCCGCAGCTCAGACAGCCTTCGGAGTGGCTCCCTACCGCACAGCAGAGTACGTAACACCCGGTATGACGCTGGCCTCACCCCCTTTTCAACCGACCGACTAATTGTCACTAATCCGACCGGTTGCACAGCATTCTGATTGACGCGTCCGTTTGCAGGCTGCCGTCCCCCTTCGCTCCCCGCTAAACTGTCTGCGCAACTGGGTCAGGTTCATCAGATAACCGTGTCGAGGACGATGGCAAGGTTATCGACCGGTCGGTCGCGCGCTGCGCCCCAGGGCGGCCTGTTCCGTGTCCCTCAACAGGGAAACATTGGAGCACAGAGGAAGGGAGAGAGCGAATTGCGCAGCGGGTCTACATATACCGGAAGGCAGCCGGCCGGAAGAGTTTGTTTTGTTTTGTGCGTTCACATAGTTTCCTGAGCCTGGACGACCTTGGATGAGGTCACTTATCTCTCCAAATGTGGGCGAAACAAACAAATATTGTGGTGTAAGATTATTTTTTAGCATAATGTACGTAACTGACGTTACAGACAGTCATTCGCAATTGTTTCATTCCTCGACAAGTCTTATGTCATAGCCAATAGCCATTACATAACGCCAACAGATTCAAACTTTCAATACTGAGGCTGCAGTGATCGAACTCAGATTACGTCTCAGAAACAAGTTTTAAGCTGGCTGTCCACTGGTAAGGCACGTATTCGACGCCTAATCGCTGAGCGCTTATTACGCACTGAAAAGTTGAAATATTTCAACTCGTCAGCCCTGGGTTCGGCGGCACCTACTCTGGATGGAGCCTAAATTGCCTAAGTGGATGCCTGGAGACCTTAAATGTTTTACTCAGGCTTATATTGAATGTAAACAATAATCTCAGAACTGGCTAACGCAGGCTTCCGTCCGTTAAACCTCGAGAGAGGGTTAAATCACAAATGTACATTAAAATTTTGAATATTTCAGATATACAAATATTCTGATATCTTCCTATATGTCTTTTTTTAATAGTTGCGCGAGATAGCTTCGGATTTTGTTTATTGCTAAGCTATTATAAGCATATGCGCAAGGTAGTCCACCATACGATGAGTTCAAAGGATCCATTCCTAAGAATATGTCGAATAGTCAGGGCATCTTATGAAGGCCTAACTCTCATTGATGTAAAATGTTATTTTTTACCTTCTTTTTCGTAGTGCTCAGATGTTATGCAAGACATCCTTGAAAGTTAAGAATGCAGATAGCAGAAATAGCGTCATTCATGGAAACGTAGTGGCCCGCTTCGAGAGAATCGCATTTTTCTTAACCCTATTCCTGGCGGACTCCGCCGGGCCAAGAAACTGGCGGGGGGGCCGATTCGGCCCCCCTTCAGATCTCAAAAACTACACATTGCAGCGACAAACGGCAAACGGCGTTTGATAGGTCGTTTAAAGATCTACAACTTTTACATAAACCATTTTCAGGTCAGGTCAATATTGAGGTCACCAGAGGTCATCAACGATAAAATGTTTTGGAATTAGTTACCTATATAACTTTTAAACTAAGAAACATAGAGACATAAAACTAATACATTTTTTGTTGCTCTCGCCGAGGCGATGCGAAATAAGTATGTGATGACCTTCACAGGTCAATTTGAAATTTGACCTGAGGTCAAGGTCAGGTCATTCATCAATGAGGTTGTGGGGTATGGTCATGCTCCATACCAAACGACGCGCCATGACCAGGCGAGCAGTTTGGTACCACTTACAAGTCTTTAGCACCATCATGTCGTGATTTATTGACAGAAAAACGATTTATGACGTCACATGACCTCAGATGACCTTTGCCGGTGCTCCTGTCAATTAGCGGCACCAGGATCATCACCGATGAGATAATCTTCCATAACACTGAGAGAATTGGGTGGTTTTGACTCGTTTACACGAAGCAGGAGGCGTTTCAATATTTTCCCATAGGCTTGCAATATAAAGGTCACGAGTCTGGCCTGACCTCAGGTCACAAATATGAAAATTCTGAGATATACAAATTGCACATACTGGTACCCTAACTAAAACCTGAAGAGAAGAAATTGATCGGTCAAAAACTCTAGCTCTGGCGTGATTGCAAACTTTTCTGAGGTGGGGTCACCAAACCGCCTCTGGTGACCTGACCTGACCTGACCCGGCAACTTTTTTTTGTCAAAATGTGCGCAATGAATGCTTAAAAAAAGTCACCGAGTATGAATTTTTAGTCTTGCGGCGTTTGGCAATGGCACAAGAAAGACCTGAAGGGGGGCCTTAAAGGCCCCCCGCCGGGAATAGGGTTAACCCGCGCCCGGCTGGGGGTCCTGGATTTCCACGCCCTGCTGGGGGGGTGTTTGAACACCCCCCCCTTGTAACTCGGCTCCTGGGCCACGTAGCGATACGCGGAAGGCGGCGTTCGAAAGAGCGTCAAAAATAATGACGAAATCACTTCGGTCAATTTTTAGGTCAGGTCAAAGTTCAGGTCACCAGAGGTCATTGAAGGCAAAATTTCGCCGATTTCCAGGTCGAATGTCGAAAAGTTCCAAGAAGCCAACGCATAACTCGGGAACCAATAGAGCTACAGCGCCACGGAAAAGCGCATTCGATAGCCCTATTAACGCCCTTTCTGAGTAATTCTCTCAGATTTGACCTAACGTCAACGGTTTTGCCAGCAGGGGGCAAAAACTGCAAAAATAGCCGATTTTTTCGGAAACAGTTTTTCTGCAATAACTTTTGACCCAAGCCTTGTACGAGCTTACTTTTACCGGCATCGTGTTCCTCTCGTCAAGACGCATCGAATGAACTATAACTTGACCTTGAAAGGTCAACTTGAAAATTTGACCTCAGGTCAAGGTCATGACCTGACCGGAAAGGGTCATGTTGCATATCAGTCAATCCGTATCGTCGAGCTGAACACATCTAAGGCGTTTTCATCGCTCTAGCACGCCTCTATCAAAAGTTATTTGCGAAAAACTGTTAGATAACATTCGTGACCTAAGATGACCTCAGGGCATAAACAAGGGTCACGGACACCATTTTCATGTTCTGTGTGTCTAAACCACTTGTAATTCGGTGTTTGGGAGTGTTTATAATGTCCTTCGTCCAAAAGAGGCGCATTTCAATTTTCTCCCATTGACTTATAATGGGGAGGTCGCAAAATTGACCTGACCTTAGGTCATCGATATCAAAATTCTGAGATATACATTTTGTACATGCTATTGCTCTTAGCAATCGCTGAAAGTTTCAAAGCGATCGGTCACTTGGTGTAGCTATGACAGACATTGAAACTTTTTATGAGGTGAGGTCACTTCAAGTGACCTGGTGACCTGACCTTGAATGACCTTGGTCTGAAATTTTCACAACATGTGTAGAATTGATGTATGATAAGGTGTACCAAAAACGGCGGCGCTCCGCGCCGCCGTTTTTGAGATATTCGCGAAAAACCACAAGGGGGGGTGTTCAAACACCCCCCCCCCCCCAGCAGGGCGCGGGTTAATAATTCATCATTTCATCCGTATTTTGCAGAACACTCGAGAGATCCCGCATGCAGAAAATAATGCGTATCAGCCTATATGCGGATAAAATCACAATCCTTTCAAAGTTGGTTTTTATCCAGGGATTTTGAGACACTGAGCCACCACAAGTCTCCAAATACCCACGAAGCTCATGCATAAATATTGCCATTTGAGCAGATAAACAATGAAAACGGAAGCCAGGAGATACGGCGTTGAGCAGAAGAACCAAGGCCGTTAAGTACAGGCTCCACGGCACACTTTTTCGGTTTTTCGTTTCGTTTTTTCGCTTTTTCGGCTTCAGTAGACGATCAACTTCACTTGATAACATTGGTGTAGCTCCACGGCAGCGAAACCGAAAAAACGAAATCAGCAACTCGAAAAAGCGACGCGAA